AAAATGAGATACTCAACCTTACCATAACATTTAACCAACTCATACGATAATTGATCAACAAGTAATATTCAATAGGATTTTGTAACAATTAAAAACATCCCAAAAGATCAACAAAATAATATTTCTAAATTGATTTTTGTCCAAGTAAAAAAAGTCGCACCGTATATAAATTAAATGAGAATTATTTAACAATTAACAAAAAATATAATTACCAAACAAAGTAATGTATTAAAGAAAGTAAATTTTTTTACATCACACAAATTGTGTACTACACGATTTGTACATTTTTTAAATTGATTTATTGCAGTTTTTATATACTTTTCATATCAAATATTTATGGAAATTAACTAAATTATACTTTGTTCTTCCTCTGAAAATTCAATCATTTTTCGATAATTTGTAGTCTTTCGTGTGATTTCATTTTTAATATTACAATATACAATTTTTATCTTTTATTCAATTCAAGATGAAGTGCGAATTCAGTTTGATAAGAATGTCACTAGAACCAAGAAACTACTTATGAAGTTGCGAGCAATTGGATAATTGAAAATAAATTTGATGTTTAACACACAAATTAGTTTGATATTTTGTTTAATGACGAGGAGATGAGAATAAATAATTTATTTTGAACTCGTCTTTTCATTATTATTATTATTATTATTATTATTATTATTATTATTATTATGTGTATAATTAGAATCATTATATACTTATTTATGTTTTCTAAATATTTATTATAAAGAGGTTACTGAAATTATAAGGGCTGCTCATATCAAGAAATGGATGAACAATGCAAAAGAGAGAGAAAATTATGGAGTTCAAAAGTATCAAGTGGAGGACAACTACGACTCATTCCGTCTAATAATTACACAATTTAAAATTGTGATCCACGGTATGACTAACTTGGTTAGGTTCAAACGAGACTGTTATACTCTTTTGTGATTTTTGAAACTTTGTTACTATCCGTTATGGTATTTAACAAGATCAAATAGTAGTTTTTGATAATATATTAATCTATGTATTTAAATAAGCGTTTAGGAGGAACAAGATTGATTGCACACTATGAGGTGATTTCGGTGATCACTTTTGAAATTGAGAAAGAATATGATAATGATCACCATTCACATTTGCTCATTGTTTATTTTTGTCAAACAAAACCATGGGGAGGTATTTTCGTTAAATTAGTTTATAATGTACTTATATTCTATTAATTAATTTGCAGGGAGGATTGTGTGCCTACAAGGAAAAAAATATTGTCTACGAAAAAACTTTTAATAATACATAACATTAATTTTTTTTCTAATTGTTTAATCATTCATGAATATAAGAATAAGGCTGGATAAATTTCCATAACATTGTCCACCCGTACATCGCACGTAGTGCTGTAAACGAACCGAATCGAACCAAGCTTGGGCTGTTCGAGCTCGTGTTCGTTTACGTTCGAGCAAGTTCGTGTTCGTTCTTTTATTTTTCGAGCAAAAAATCGTGTTCGAGTTCGTTCGTTTAATTGTTCGTCAAAGTTCGAGTTCGTTCGTGTTTGAATAATTTAATATATAAACCTTTTAAATATGTGTGATTAACTCGAATTTGTCGTTCGAACTCGAAAATAAAAGAATAAAATAAAAATATTTTTATATTTTATATTCTTTATTAAAAATATTGTGTAAATATATAAAAAAATAAATTAAATGATATTAAATTTTAGATTTTTTATTAAAAATATTATGTAAATATATAAAATAGAAAATAAAATTATATTAAAATAATGTTCGCGAACATAATCAAACGTTCATGAACGAGCTCGTGTTCGTTTGATTATTAAACGAGCCTAATTTTCTGTTCGAATTCGGCTCAATTAACAAACGAACAAGCTATTATCGGACACGAACGAGCTCGAACGAGTTTTTGTTCGCGAACGTTCAATTCGTTTACATATCTAATTGCACGGGCTCTGCACTAGTTGTGGTATACAATAATTGTATTTCATTGATATCAGAGGACATAAAGAAAATTACACCATTCATTTTTGTTTCCCAAAATACAAAATTACAAATTCCACATTTTATGAATTGTTGGTTTGTGGTCTATTTTTTTATTTTCTCTAAATTATACTCTTTTATTTTTACTCATTTATCGTTTTTTATTTATAATTTTAATTTAAATGTTGTTTTATATTTTTTTAAGAAATGATATAAAAATGTAAAAGGGCCTCAATTATTACTTACTATTCTCTTTTGTTGGATGTTTAATGGGCCTTCATCAGATCCACGACCATTGAAAAAGCCCCACTTATATATCACTAGTAGATATCCTGTGCACATGCACAGATGTACATAAAATATTAATAAGTAATATTTGAAAATTTAATATTAAAATTCTAGATAATGAACATATTACATTTTAAATATTTGATCATTAGGAAAAATAAATTAACGATTTTATTATTATGAACAATTGTTTATTATTATTAGATACTAACAGTTATTATTATTATTATTATTATTATTATTATTATTATTATTATTATTATTATTATTATTATTATTATTAAAAATAATTTTTTATAAGCTTCTAAAGTTGTTTGACTATGCTATTAAAATAATTTACTAATTATTTTTAAAGAAATTTTTTCATGAGATACAAAAGAAAAAGATAATATTGATGTTAATATAAATAACTTGAAACAATTGTTTATAATTATGTAATTTATATTTATTGTGAATTATTATTATTAGTAATAACTATTATATAATATAATATAAACATACATGATTACACTCATTAAGATGTATTAATGTGAAAAGTAAAAAATTAATGACAAATTTTGTAACCGAAAATGGAGAAAAAGATTTAGAGATTTTATTAAATGTTTTATTAAGTGTTACATGCCAGCAATTATATATATATAGATATCACCAAAATGTTATTAAAGTCATAATTGGTAGGTACATTCATCCATTATATTTTATTCATACGAAGAAAAAACGACATATATTATATGAATTTGTATGGTTTCTTTAATTAAGCTAACTAACTATTTCATTTTACTTTTATGAAATAAAATATTTCATCACAATATTACACTTTTTTTTCCCCACTTGTTAGAATATCACTTGTGAGTTGTCCCACATCGTTCACACATAGAAAATAGACCCACCTTATAAGTCTAATGGACTACTCCTCCTTCCACCAATTGGTTTTGGGATGGAACCCCATTTGGGCTTCATATGGGCTTTCCATTTCCCCCAATTTCTTACATGGTATCAGAGCCCACTTTGTGTCTAGGTTAGAGACATGATATCAGAGCCCGACCGACTTTGTAGACATGATATCAGCCCACTTTGTGCCTGGGTTAGAGACATGATATCAGACTCACAAGTGAGGGGGGCGTGTTAGAATATCACTTGTGAGTTGTCCCACATTGTTAATACATGGAAAATAGAC